TTTTGTATTTTTAGTAGAGACGGGGTTTTACCATGTTGACCAGGATGGTCTCGATCTCTTGACCTTGTGATCCACCCACCTCGGCCTCCCAAAGTGCTGGGATTACAGGCCTGAGCCACCGTGCCCGGCCAAGTAATGCTATTGTTAACACTATCACCTTCTGTTTATGCAGGACCTCCTTCCTAAGGGTGCCAAAGGTTTTGCCAGACAGACTCCATCTTCTTTAATTCCACCGAGGAAGGACTGGGTTGGGTCACACAGTAACCAACATTGCTCAGCACTTACTCTGTAGTGCCTAAATGCTTGGCCTTCAGTAAAAAAGCTTGCCGCTAAGAAGCTTCAGAGACAAATCTTATCCCTAGTCGGGGAGACAGATTAACAGTCACTTCCAACACAGTGTGGTGAGTGCTTTGAGCACACAGAGGAGAGGCACCTAGCTGGGACAAGGGTTTAAGGACCAGACAAGGCTGCCATCCAGAGAACTCAGACATATGTTCCTCATCTGATTGTAAACTTGCACTGGAGTATCACCTGGCATTACACACTTAAAAGATCTAAACTTCCAGACAGACATTCATTTGGTGTTTGTTAGGAATTGGGGCCCTAAGGACTACTCCCCATCAATTGCACTAGAAACAAAAAAAGCAAAGAATGGATCGTGATGCAGCTATCAGCCCCATTTGTGGGAAGCATCCAAGTTAAGCCTGTTCCATGACATAAGAAGACCATCAAAGCCCTAAGAAAAGTGGAGCCAAGAACTCTGGCTTCCTCGATGCCTGGATGTGTTCCATCCATTTCACCCATTTTTCAGTCCATAAAATACTGGGAAACATGGATACTGAAACTCTCCATCCAGTCATCCACTGCATGCAGCTTTCTGTCTACCCCCAGCCTTAATTAATTACATTATGAATCCTCCACCACCAACGTTACCAGGGCCAGGGCCAGGGCCAGGGCCAGCTTATCACGATCATCAAAAGAGTCATCACAAAACAAGAGATGGCGAGGCCAGGCACTGTGGCTCACGCCTGTA